TGTAGTTTTTTTTTAGGCAATGGTTGATTACCTAACAATTTGTCTTCTAACTTCTGGCCAAAAATTAGTTATGTTGGTCTGTTCATACGGAAGAACAAAGTAATAATTAGATTCCGGATTAGAATAATACGTCTCTATCGAGCTTAGCTGATTTTAGAGAATTTTCATCGTCCTAAGCACAGGCAGAGAGGCCATTTAAAAATTGATTGTTAGCCGCTCGGCTCTCTTTTTATTATTCGAACTGCGTATTTTAGTTAGTAAGACAAGTCAACAGGTATTAGGACTTTTATTTAGATGAGGTATACAAGCAACGAAGGTAACGACGCCTGGAATAGCCGCTGACTCATGCACCGGTATTACTTTATTAAGAGGTAAATTTTTCCAAGGAGGAAAAATTCTGCTCCTCGCAAACTATTGAATGTTGACTTGGACACATAAGTTTCGAATTTAATCTTTTGTCACATTACGTTTAAATATCAGCCAGATCGATCCATAAGTAACTCCCACAAAAAAAAATGAATGCAGAGCCATACGGAATAAGAGAAGAAGATAGAGAGAGAGAGAGAGAGTGGCCGCAGCCTAGTGAGAAACTGGGTATTGACTAACATCACGACGAAATCAGATCAAACCCGACACACCCGTATTTTCGGAGAATTTGGGAGCGATTATGAAGTAATATAATAACGAAGGCAAATGCAACTCCTTCGTGTGCAAGTAATTATGAAATATTTAATTACTCTTGGCCGCAGCGATAACTACAAACACTTGAATTTCACATTATGTGATATCACGTTTTGCTTAAATTGCAAGCGACAATTTTTTTTTTTTTTCATCAATCTATTGTTCGCTGAGTGTTCAGCACGAAATAGAAAAAAATCATCTGCAAAAGCGTTCACTAGCGCTGTTATGGCAAAGCAATCTAAGCATATCCAGCAGCTCTCGTTACATAAAATAGAATTTTTACAAGCAATTAATTCATGGCATGACTGAAAGTGCACTCACTTCCTTACTACATTAGATTAACCCGTAACGTTTTTGATAAAACAATTAATATTAATTAAGACATTTCTGTACATGAAATAAATATTCTCAACTTGTTTACCTTGTCCAGGTTTCTCAATAAATTATTCTTAAGTTATTGAAATTTAATATCAGCATTGCTATCTCAATTGCATTGAGGTTATACATTGGCGTTGGCTTTTGGCCAACAATTTGTATTCGATGTGATGTCTGCTCTCTCTCTCTCTCTCTCTTATAATAATAAATCTTACCTGTGCACTTTACATAAGGATGGGCTTCGTGAATATTTGGTGAGAAAACGAGTTGATGCCTGACCGGGGTAAGAGAAATAAAATGAAATGAAAATAAATTTGAAGACAATTTCATAAAAATTTGATATTTCTTGACTTTCTTAAATTCTACTGCTTATATCAATTGAAGAAAAAAAAAAGTTCAAATTTATGATATGGCACTTTATTGAAAATATTTATGTTCATAGGATTAAAACTTGTTGAACGTGTTCTCAATAGCTTAAGACAAACTTTTATCAAGTGTTTGGTATAAACTTTTCTAAATGACAATGCAATCATTTAACCTTAAGGACTTTTTGTTATTTTAATCAAATCTAGAATAATTCTCGTTCTCGTTATCGATAAAATTTCATAGAATTGTGAATCATAACAACAATAATAAATTGTTAATAATTTTCTATGTCAGCATTTTTATATTCTTTCGTTAACTTTTACTTGTGATCTTCGCCTCTTGACCTTCAACAGTGTTATGTTGTTCATATAACACTTCAACACTGCTTGTTATCAATAATTGAACACTGATGTTCACATGCTATCATTTATTTATAGCACTTTTTTTATTTTTCTTTCTTTTATCTCCTTCACCCTTAAAGTTCTCCTTGAGTTCGTTCGGTTTAACTTTATTTACGATAGCCATTATTTATTTATTCTAATTTAATAATTCGTATGAAACTTTGCAGGATTTAAATGCAAATGTGAGAAAAAAAAACCGGATAATAATCATATAGTGAGAGTAAATTATTATTACGAAAAGTGTGTACATAACCACTGGATATAAGCCACGAACTCCGCAACTGTAATAAGGGTTGTAAGTGAAAACTTTTGAACAGTGTACAAATGTTTTCAGTGAACAGTTTTTTTTTAATTTCAGAGCTCACTATCAGCTGATACAAGGCTCTAAGCTAAAAGCCAGCAATGTATTCTAATATTTTGACATAATAAAACTTTTGCTTAAACAATTCAAACACAACACCCATTTGTTGTTACACCCTACACCAATTGCGGAAAAGAATATATTTAACTTGACGGTTGTCTGTGCAAGACGCAAATGGACTTCAGATAGACCCAACAATCGATATTGCAACAATCGATTCAGCATCATTTTCTGAATCGATTTGAGTTTGTCTGTCCCTCCGTCTCGCTGTTTTCTGTCAATACTTTCTTGAGTATAAAATATGATACACACCAAGGTTTTGTGCCAAGAGTGAATTCTAGTCAGAATGAATCGAGTCCACTCTCGTAGAAATGTTAAAATCCAACCTATAGAGCTTGCCTAAAATGTATCTAAAAAATTTGTGCCTCGCATATTGCCACCAAATTACATGAGTAGACATGGGAAAGACAAATGGACGCATGCGACCTGTGGCAAGACATAAACGACGATGCTGTATACTGTTTTCATCTTTCCGGTTTGGGCGTATTCAAGATGTGTACTTTCCGGACCTATGGTCATGTTAATGGATACCGCAAGAGGGACGACAGGTTTGGAGAAAAAAGTTACATAAAGGCAACGTCCGAATTCTTAACATCTTAGATAATCCGAGCGCGGTTATGGGATAGCTTTGACCCCAGTGTAGGGCTATTAGTTGCCAGCGCGCTCTCAGCGCATCCGAAAAAAAGACAGATAGATAGACAAGCTTAAATCGATTCAGGAAATGCTTTTGAAGCGTCCGGTTTAAATAAAATGTGAGTCCGTCTTCGGCTCTTCTTCGTGCTATAAACAAGCTTATATTTGTGCGAAGGTACAAAAGATTCATCTGAAGGCAGGCGTTGCATTCTCTTAATTTCTTTTAAAAGCAGCCACGCGTTTAGTTTGCAGCATTCGCTCTAGTATTATGTAAATCCTTGTGTTTATTTCTTTCAGTGTAATAAAATGTCAAAAATGTCGACTTTGACAGTTTTAGCAAAATTAATCAAGTACTTTAGCCAATCATGCAAGTATGTGACACACATGCTGCGAAGAAGATGATACGTTTCTTAAGTTTGTGTACAGGATTAGTTATGCTTTCTACATGAACAATAGGTATCGAATATTTGGAAGATATAAGACAACATAGATCCTAAACAATAAAAACAAAGACAAGCACAAGAATTATGTTCGGCTGTGGCAGACTCTTCATTATCCATTACCTTTGCGTTAGGAAAAACTCGTCGAAAATGAAATTTTGATTTTTTATGATATTCAACGGGGCGGTGCGGTTGATTATCTTCATGTTTATACAGGTAGCGTGGGATCATGCTTGGAATACATCGTTTCATCTATTGCACTTTATAAGCAAGGGGAAAGTCTTTGTGCTATGGAGACAGTTGGGGCTCTCAGTTTATATTGTACTGCGGGTACCAGTTTGATCCATTTTCAATGCTGACCTGCGTGCAGCAACTCTCTATATTTTTTTGACATATTTTCCACTACCAGAAGAATTTTTGCGGCAGGCATTAGACAAATGGGTCGGCGAACATTTTTAAGACGATTAAAAATTTGGAAATTGAAGCATTACTCTTAGCAAACATTCTAAATTGGTTATATTCAAATTTCGCTCAGAAGGCCGCTTTTCCCCAGAGGAAGTCCTATAATAATAAATCTTTACCTCACCACAATTTCCTCTATAAAAAAAACCTGTGCAAACTTGTTACCCAACAACTGCATTGATTTCGAAAAAAAAGTAACAAATACTTACTTTTTGGTGCTTTCAGTTTAAAGAAAGGAGCACAACACCATACAATCACTTTTCAAGATTCGTCATTTAGTTAAATAAAACTTTATTTCAGGAAATTCTACTGCGACGCTTTTGATCGACATTAAGGCTGCTTTCGATTCAGTTTGACCAAAAGGACTCAATTATAAAACGCTTCGTCAGAATTTTCCTCTCGAAACAGAGATTTTGGTGGCCTAGTGCTTAACTGTCAAGTCGTCAAGTTCGCACTCCATTGCAAGTTATGCCGGTTGTCCACAAGGGTCTTATCTATCTGTCTCACTGCAGATGTCACCCTACCAAGTGGACCACTTTTGTTGACAACACTGCGTTTCTGTTTCAAACAGAGGCGTTGTTCAGAAAGTGAAAGATTCTACTCAATGGCCAAAAAATTGAAGCGAGTTTTTTTACTCATAAATGTAAAGCTCACTTCATCATGCATTGGTATGATACGTTGAGGATTGATGGCAATGACTCTTCTAAGAAAAGTGAATTCACAATAACTACGTTACTCACACTTAACAGTGCTATCAAAATTTTATTGACTAATAGAAATGCAAGATTAACCATAAACAGCAACAAAAATGATTATCAAAATTATAATCCATTTGTTCATGGGTTATGCCGGTCCAGTTTGGTCTTATACTGCTTATTGCCCTGGAATTTTTCTGCACTCAATTTTCAGTTTCGAGTTTGTTCATAGCAAAATTTCAAAGTTAAGTGTTGCGAGGTTGTTTGCTCTTGTAATCCGGGTTTGCTGGTCGGATCTCAGAGCCCTCTCACAGAGGGGGGAGAGAGATCTTACACTATCAGGCATCAACAACAGCATTAAAACAAAGTCACAACGGACATCTTTTCTCTTCACCCATGCGGGAATAACCCAACTTCATCAACGGAAGTTCCTTCTTTTCTGTCTAAAAAGGTCGCCGTTGACAACCTTCCCAGATCTCAGTTGAAATCGTCTGTTATGAAATGCCCATTATCCATCGTCCGTCGCTATATGCTTACTACTACTTATCTGACTTACATCAGCACACCCTCTCGAACGGGAGCTATGTGAAGGCAAAACGAGCTGACGACTTTCTGTTAATATTAGGACATAATGCCGAAACTCACATCACTCTCATGTCAATAAACTACGGTTACTGTAAATATTTCTTTTGTTTGTTTGTTTTTCTCTCTTCTTCTTCTTTTTTCTTGTTTCTTAACCTTTCTATTATTCTAAATACAATATATGATCCAACAATCTATTAATTTCTAAGTTGTAAAGGAATAAATTCTTTAATCTAATCTATCATGTCGAGCACAGTTTCTAAAATTAAAAACAAACAACAGCAAGTTAATTAATTAAAAAATTAAATTGAAAAGAAATTTTATACCAATTTCGATAGATAGGGAAATGTTTATTTCCTAGTAGCGAGTAAGACTCTAATATAACTTATATAACAACGAGCATATGATAACCTCTCGAGTTATCAAAAATAATAAAAATGTAGATAACAATTTTTTAGCCATTTATGTATGTTTTCATTTTCATATTCATATATTTCATGGTGTTCAATTTTTACTAAGGGAATATTTTTTAATTCACTCCTTTCGCATATCTATAATTAAAAATGCAAACAAGTTTGCCTTTCTTTATCCATAATACGCACTTTACGTACACCTTAAAGCTCGTTTACATCCACGTAACCCCATGATAAAATGCGGTCAATTGCTTCGGCATTAACATTCAGTTTTGCATGTAGAGCATAACCGCTCTCGTCCGTGGTAACCACAAACAAAGCAAAAATTTCAAAAAAAAAAAAAAAAAGAAAAGGAAAACCAAAGTGTATAAAATTTCGGATTTTGTGAATGCACCGCACCCTTCGTATGCTAAAAATATGTAAGGATAACAAGACAATGTTACATATGAATATTTATTTAAATGTATTCACATATTTATGCTCATATGCGAGTACTTTAATGAGATATCTCAGTATATTCAAATGGAAAACACTTTTATCTATTTTTTTCTTTTTTTTTTTTTACTAAAGACCACAAGCGCTTAAATGCAGCGTAAAAGCAAACACTCATTTATTCCACATAGACAACTATTTTTATTCCTGTTGTCTTTATGTACTTTGGTTACAGTGTATGTAAGTTTAATAATAAAATAATGTTATGCATAAAATGTGAACGTGTCAATGATAAAGCACACACTTGTGCACTTGTATATGCCTAGAATAGTGAATATAACATGAAAATAAGAAGAAAGAAAAACGACAGTGGATTTTGTATCCAATCACTTGCGTAAATAGCTAATTTTAAATTTCTTTCCAAAGTAATGTCGAGTTGTTTCTCTAATGTTATTTAATTTCAAAAATAAAATTTTATTATTTGTACGTGAGGGTTGCTTCTATCGTCCATACATGAGGAAAATTTTAATTGCTTTTAAAAGTATAGTTTAAGTAGTGTAACTTTAAGAAGGCACACATCAAAAGACAAGGCCGAGAGATTGTTAAAACTTATTCAATTGATTTTCAGAATGCGACTAAATACGGAATTCGAAATGATTTCAAAGTGAATAGCGCCTATAATTCTTATATCGTCATAACCGAAGGGTAAAATGGTCAACCATAGCATCTCTGAACAAAGTGAAATATCATCTACAACTACGTTGAATGTAATCAGGCATTAAAGCCTCTTGGAAGCTTTACACATTGCAAGTATCTGCGCCATGACTCTAAATTGTCTAAATTGGTAAATGTACAGAACTTGAAATAATCGAGATTAGTTGAAAGCGCTATGAGAAACGAATCGAATTTTGACTCAATATTTTGTGGAAGACCACAACATGAGACTTCAAGTCAGATATCTTTCTCTATCTATATCTGCAAATCTTAATAGGAATATGTAACGAATTCTGGGCGTATATACTTCTACTTCTACTTAGGGTCATTTTAAATCTATTTAGATATCATTTTTTGCTCTCTCTCTCTCTCTCTGCTTAATCCTGGCCTGAATCTTGCTTCTCTCACTGAGGCAAGATTTATACTGGCAGCAGTGTTTATGATCATGCTAAGCAAGGGAAAGATCGACTCACAGATGTGGTTTACCGTTATTAATTTAAATGTGTCTAAGTTGTACCATCTATTAGCAGTCACGCTTGCTCAGTATCGTCTTAACGATCACTATAAGTTTGCTCGTATGCGATATGAAAAATTTTAATTGCGTTTAAAATCCATTTTGGGCATCATCAGAGAAAGAGAAAAAAAAGAAAACAAATCAACGCCATTGGTTCAAAACAATTTTTTAAAAGAATTCCACGATACTTACTAGACTTTAGCTTATAATTTCGGAATGGTTTTTAGTTTGTTATTTTAGATGAAAAAACGCAATACGGCATGAAAAGCCAAGAAGAGTAGCATTATTTTATAGCATTATTTTATTGTCATTTGTGCAAAAAGAAGTATTAATAAATTTATTATTCTTTATAAAACGTGTCTACAAACACAACTCAGTTTTTAGTGAACAACGCTCAAAACTATGGGGAAAAATCCTTTAACACTCTCGTTTTTATACCCAACACCGAAGGAAGGGGTATATGTTGATTGTGTCAAAATATTTGCAATGCCCATAAGGAAACTTTGGAGACACCACAAATAATATATATATATATATATTCGTGATGAGCACGAAATTCTGAACCGATTTAAGCATCAATGTCCCTCTCTCCGTCTGTGAAATATCTATTGTAAACAGAATAATCTGCAGAAATTTGAATATATTTTCTATGGGCAATAGTGTAGTGCCTGTAGTAGCTCGAGAAAAGTGGAAAAAATCGGCGATGCCTGCTCAAATTTTATAGTGAGTAATAATATCATTTTTTTTTTTCGAGTTTTTTAGCGTAAAAAAGCTACTTTTAAAAACTCCATAAAATATATAAATCCTTGACCAGTTTGAAATTCGGCATGTCCGTGCGTTCGTCCTGGCGATCGTGTAGGGTCGGTGGTAAACATTTTCCCCGTTCGCAAATATGAAAATATCGCCTACAAGTTTGCAAAAGAACTTTAAAATGATTCAAAATGTCAAAGAACACGCCTACAACGCCCACACCTCTATGTAACAGAAACTATGAACATCTTTGCTTTCCGTCTTATTTATAAAGTACAACAAGTACCACATATAATTTTTATTCCGAAAATAGAAGAAATCAGCCACGCCCATTCCATATTACAAAGTATGAAATTTTAGTTTTTGTTCTTTTTTTAAATCTTTAGTAGGGTTATAGTGATGGGTATAAAAGTTTCAGTTACGATCGAATATAATTCTCTTACTTGGTATAATTTAAGTTAATTAATATTTAAATGTTTATCTCTTAACCTCAATACTCGGATAAAGGTATTTTTATCTCACCTGAATGCTTTCTAGACAAGAAATGAAATCAAAATTAAAAATTGGATGAATTCAAGTCCAAATTAAAAACCAATGTTTGTCCATATGCAATACGTTTATTGTCCGCAAGCAACACAAAGTAAGTAAAGGCATTCACGCGAGGGAAAATACGATTTTTGCACTCACCATCGAAATTTGAGGTTATAGTTTACATGTCCTTCCGCTTGCAAGACATGGGCTACACATTCTCAGTAAAAACAATATATATTTTATTAGGATTAGATTATGTTTCCGTCCGTCCTATTGTTGTAGCAACGCTTATGACCTAACAGCTGTGAGTTTGATTTGAAAATATGCATGATCCATCTATATCAGATATATACGATATGCTACATATACGAATTACTGTCAGCAGATCCAATGAATGCATTTTCTTTTGCTTTTTCAATCACTTGTCCTAACCAATGTGAGCTGATTTAAGATATTTGGCTCCAGTCAAACATCGTTTTTTTTTTTTTCTTACTTTACAATGACCGGATTAACTATCAAATTTGATTTTTATTAGAACGTTACCCAAGGAAAAGTAGTAAATTTTTCCGATAAATATCATTTTCGTAATAATATAAAAAAATGATGAATAAACGAAGTTTAATAACATTTTATTTCGATTTCACTGTCAACTTAGCGTGTAAGGAAAATAAAATAAAAAATATAAAAAATACGGTCTTTTAAGAATGTTTTTATATATTTTTTTTGCAGTCGAAACATAACTATCCCATTACTCACGCTTGAATAAACAAATCTTTTGTATTTTTATTGATTTCGTTCATTTTCTCTCTTTTTTTATTTTTCTTTCTTTCTTACTTGTATTTATTGCTTTTTTTACGTATTCATTGAGTTTATTTGATTTTTTGCTTTTTTAATTTCTCCGTTTACGATAGCTTATCATTTAGGCAACACATTAACAACTGTTTTGTAAAAATGTTAGTTAGCGAAGAAAGGATGCTATAGAACGCGAACACACAATATGATTTCTATTTTAGCAATGTAAACATGAACGTATCTCTGTTAAGATAAGAAAGGAAATTTTTTCAACAGGACCTCGACAGAAGTATGTTGAATTACAGAAAAATGTTTTCCTGTGTGCACATGCACGTAAAGTGTTGAGAAAATTCACCTGAAATTATTTTTTGTTTTTTTTTTTTTTTGTTTTACTAGCAATGGCAAGTTGCAATAGTATTGAGTTTCCAAAGTTTCGAAACGAAAAATTCAGAATGATAAAATGAAATATAGGTTTTCTTTAGTAAATTTAAACGATTTCTCCGCCGATATCATGGAGATGAACTTTTACTGTTGTAAAGCATTTATTCTCTTTATTAGTATACTACGGTGCCTGAATTTTGCAATGTATATATGTAGCACACAGGTACTTCTATAATGAATATTTAATGGCGCCCAGAACACAGTTGCACGAGTATGATGTGAATGAGATGAAAAAGTTATGAATCAATTTCTGCTCATTCACAAGATGTACTGAAATTCATGCAAAGATTCAATTCCGCGCCATTTGTAGCAGACACGCTGTAGAAGTCTCCGACTTTGTATGGTCTAACCTTGTGAACTTAATATAGATCGTCGCATTGGATTTGTCGCATTCAATCCCGTAAAAAAGAAATGGAGGCTGGTAACGAGCGTTCGCCTTCAAATTTCATCAAATGCACAGAATAACATCGCTGGACGTTAACTCGGCTTAGGCATGCCTTGCGAGAGCTTTTTCATCAATTTTGAGTCTTTGTTTATTTTGTTTTCGATAAGAGTTGGTATCGATGGGGAAATCTTTCAAGTTCGTCAGTCAGTTCTGTTAACACCGATATGAAAAGAGAGACTTGATCATAGAATACTTTATAACTAGGTTCCAGAGCTGCGAGTTTGACTTTGTAAGGAGCGAGCAGCTTAAATTTCGTCTTATTGTAGCTTCTCCGATCGTTACCAATATAATTGGTTCTTATATTTTGATCTTCGTTTCCTCGTTTTTACTAACATAGTCTTATTGCAGTTTGTCTGAATGTCTTGAACGTAAAAATTGTCAAAACTCAATCTTTTGGTGTTTACTTTCACTAACATACTTTAAAAACCGCCATTGTATGATTGTGTTTGCATAGGTAGTTTATATGGCAGAGACTGTGTGTGTATCCTTATATCTCACTGTTGCGAAATCGCTTTTGTTCATCATTCTGAGTCAACAGTAACTATGTGATGTAAAAAACCTTTGCTATTTTGAGGTTAAGAGATGTTCTAAGTTATCGACTGACAAATTGAGTGATAGACTAACGACAGTTTTATCAACTGCATAGAAAAAAGATTATATTGATTTTAGTTTTCCCCTTATTTTTGAACACAATAGTGCAAAGCAGATTTTTCGGAAAGTTTGCAACATAGTGTTTGTACGTGCGAGCGTAAGAGCTCTAAACATCTTATTATGCTTACTAAGTTCAGATTTGCAGTAGACTGGTCTTCGGTGGACGGGAAATTGGGTACTTTTTTCTATATTCTCTTTTTTTTTGTTGATATTTTAGCGAACTGGACTTACTAATGCAATACATGCTATACTCGAAAATCGAAAACTTACAGCAAGACACTAGAACTTAGCAAGTAACGTTTTCAAATAATTGTAACCAATTTCGGGCCTATAAAAGATTAAATTCGAAGGTCAACAAAACGAAATCGAGGTACAAGGTCAACAAAAAACGATAGCTTCTTATCTATGCTCGATCATGTAGGATAAATATATTGCCATGAATGCTATTAAGGCAATAGACATACGGTCTCTTGTTGTTACATACAACGTAATATAATGTAAAGTCTGTTTATTTATCAACACCAGACAAAGTTCTATAGTTCACTTTGAGAGTTACGTAGAGTGTACTTCGATCTAGCTGTACTTCGAAGTTTTTCTACAGTACAGCATATATGCTGTATACTCTACTAGGCGACAACATTATATTGCAGGCCTATGCAAATAAACATTTTATAAACGTACTAGTAGTTTAGATTGCTTATGAAATAGAAACAAGATTAGCACGATGATACCCGTGGCAGAAGCCAACTATCCCCCCACTAACGAATCGAATGAGCATTCATCAGAAATATATTAATGATTTTTCATAGAAGACTCGGCAGAGCTGAGAAGCTACTTTAAATTACCCGATCTCTCCTTTAGGTTGTTCGATCGTGATCTGATATCAAAGATATTAAAATTCTTTTAAGTATGGAGAGAGATGACGAGGTTTGTCTTCTGACCTAGAAAAACTGATCTGCACTACGCGTCATGCTTTTTCATTTTCTGCGATACGATTTTACAACTGTGTCTGCCGTTAAAGTAATTAAATCTTGTGTGCATTTTATATAATATATAAATCATAATCACGCAGAGACTTTCCGTTCTAATACACAAGATTATATCGCTAATTATTTCTACAATGGTTTAATAACTTCCCGCCTACGGCACTGGAATCATGTAGTAAATCATTTCAAAGGTATTTACAATATCCGTATTATGAATTAATTTCTATTTCCTAATTATCAATAGTGTACGCCGTCGCCATTAACCTAATGCTATCATGGATATAACTGAGAGCACAATGCATTTAATTAAGTACACATGTTATGTTAATAATTAATACTGCGATTAAACCCAATGGATGGTATGCTAACAACAGTAATTACAATACATTCAATTTCCTCTTTGGATTGTAAGAAACTATTTAATGTTCTTTATATATGAATTTTGGGAATGTTCTTAGAGCTGAAATAAATAGATAAACTGAAATTTTGTTCTATTGAATTGAAAATAGATTCCGTGGTTTATCTTAATCAAGTCTTAACCAATGTTATTAAATTATTTAATAATTTCCTCTTTTCTATGGAGATAAAATAAAAAATCATTTATATAACACCTTATGTATGCTATGGAACGAGAGAAACGAAAAAGAGATAATAATATCGATGTGAAGGTCTCATAATTGCGTTACTTCAAAACTGAATTCATTATGCGGCGTTCAAGTGATATGCAAGACTCTCAAGTATATGTCATAATCGTGTTAAGTTTAAGTGCGCAATTTCCAAAAAAAAAAAAAGGGAAAAAATAATCTTTATTTCAGTTGTGAAGAATTTCGAGCACCCAACAATTTAAGCACATCTTAGTTGAATAAGCACTCTACAGCCTGCCACATTTATTCATATAACGGGTTGGTAAAATTAAGGCGTTATATGGGAAGTACCCGAAGGAGTAGTCTCATCCAACCCATTTTCCATTAAGTTCTTCCTTAAGCCAAAACACTCCGTTGTGCCAAATTTCATTAAAATATCTCAGAAATTGCACCCCTCTAGGTTGAACACAAGAAAACACAAGACGGACAGAGAAGCTGAAATCGATTGTGAAAGTTATTCTGACCCAATCGGTACAATAAAAGGCGGGCAAACGTCAAGTCTTTCTGCGTCTGCGTACATGCATCCGAACAAATTTAATGTCAATGCAACAAGCACACTATTTTAAAGATTAATGCAGAACTATTCCACACGCATACAAATATAAAAAATTTTCTTTAATTTATTTTTGCCGTTTAACCAACATTCGTCTTACAGTTTCCCGCTTGCAAAAACGTCAATCATTTATCGTCATATGCAACGCTCGTATGGCTCAAAGTGATTACAAATTGATTTAGGTTAGACAACCATTAAGAAAATTACGTCAATTTTATCATGCACTTGATATTCAAACCATGTTTATTAAGGGAAACATCTACTATTCAGATAAGTAACGATAATGTTATAGTCGGCTAACAATTACCACTCGTTACTCTATACGCAAGATTAACGAAGTAAATGAAATTTGGATTTTACTTCGATCCTATTGGACGATTAAAACGTATTAAAGTACGCCAAAATTCACATAGAGAAGATCTGACCTAACAAAATCCTTGCAAATAATGCATCTTGTATGCAAAACGAAAGTTATCGTATGACATAAAGGGTGAATTCATCTTAATTGATTTTGAAAGGCATATATTCATATCTGACATCCAGAAAACAAATATTAGCCTTTTCATGTCTAGGCATACGTGTGTTTGGCAGAGCGTTCATAAGTCATAGCCGAAAATGCAGTAAAATTTAAAATTTGTATAACAAGTTTCCATAACAACTTGAAAAGTAAAATTGTTTTAAAAGTTTCAGGAAAAATGAAAGATAAATGGAAGCCAAGTAAAACTTTTAAATATTTAACAAGTTTCCAGTTAAAACTCTTCTAACAATGATTTCGAAAAAAACACACACTGTTTGAAGACGGTTTATGAAGAGATCTCGATTTTCGTTAAAAAATATTTGCATATAATCACTTACTGCGTGTAGTAAGTTACTTATGAGTACATAGAATTTTTTTTTTTTTTTTTTTCATTTTCAGAAAATAATCAATGAATTCTCTAACGGATGCAGAGAGAGACAAAGTATTATTTTTTTTGCTTAGTAGATGGATTTAAAGTCGTGTATCTTACAGCAATACCAACTATGTAAAACTCTACCATGACATGTGTGAGAGGCGACTTTTTATAAGTAACAAAAAAAAAAAATATATATTTATGTATATAACTTAAGACATTTGTTAATCCAATTGGAAAGTGATTATGAACATGAGCCAAAAGTTCTGAAATAATTCGATGTATTTCGCAATAACACTCGTAAGGTTATGAAAAAATTCGTGCTTTATCAAAAACTTTGATTTTTCATATTCACAGAACTTATGTGTATATATTAGGTTGACGGGAAACACCGACAGGTAATTCTACATG